CCTTACCTGTATGTAATACCCTTGTACCACACCACAGGATCCTTACCTGTATGTAATACCCTTGTACCACACCACCTTCACCAGCTCAGGATAGGAATATTCTTCATCGGACTGTCTCTGTAAAAGTGATTCACAGAAGTTCCACCTGTGAAGGATAAAATATGAGTATTAATTCTGGTTGTTCAAAATAATTGCCATTAAAAGTCAACAAAACAGTGCCACCATAATGCTTATTCCTTGCCAAACTAACTCTATTGTGTGTGTGTGTGTGTGTGTGTGTGTGTGTGTGTGTGTGTAAATGTGCACTAGAGAAATTTAAAAGCAAGTCTTGCACTGCCATGTATCTTTTCAGTAATTCTCAGTAACTTCAATAATGATCTCAGTATGACATACATTTAAATTTTTGCTAATCTTTAAAATGTAACCCGAATTCAAACAACAGATCTTTACTGAAATATCTGCAGTAGGCCAGGCATCATGCTCTACGCACTGAGAATTTAATGTTTCTGTTCCCAGGGGACACTTCTCATCTGGCAGTGTAGTAAAACAGTAATCACCAAGTCTAAATAGAGGGAGGCAGTGAGTGCCATGGCGTGAATAAAGACTAACTTATCAACAGACTTCGAGAAACCACTCCAAGGAACCTTGTAAGGCTCGAGTTGAGACGAGGAAAAGCGGTAGTGGTGAGGAGGGCGATGCTCCTGCTGCAGCAGAGAGCAAGGGCAGGGGCAGTAGGGAAGAGAGCCCGAGGGAGCACTGAGTAACTGTGAGGAGTCCCGTGACGGCAGAGTGAGGACTACAGAGACAGAGGGACCAGATCACAGAAAACCTGCTAAGCCATGTTAAGGAAATGGATTTCAACCTAAATCTAGTCAAAGAAACACTTCATTTAGAAGCATAAAACCTCTTCTGTCACATATTTAGAATTCTGGATTTCCAGTTTTAACTAGATAATTATGGCAAGCCAAAAAGCTCTTCCTAGATTTTGTTTTAAGTAAAAATGTGTACTCAGAGACCTCGGATGAAATTTCAATTCTACTAGTTTTACCGATGTAACTTGCTCAGTTCTTTATCATTTCTTGATCTTAAGTTCCTCTACAAAAGGATCACAGTAATTCTTGTAATGGGGTTACTACACCAAATGAATAAAATAGAACAATGCCTCATGTAAGTACTTTATAATGTTTGTTTACAAAAAAAAGATAAATTTACTGTAATACTTATACAAAGTTCATTTTGCGAATTTTTAACTATTATTCATCCTTGAATGAAAGTTAGGTTCTTGACCTAGCCATGGAGAGGTCTCCATATACTGAATCCTTTTGAAAAAATACTTGGGCTGGAGAGATGGCTCAGATGTTAAGAGCACTGACTGCTCTTCCAGAGGTCCTGAGTTCAATTCTCAGCACCCATATGCAAAAATGGGATCCAACACTATGGCAAAAATACCAATGCACATTAAAATAAATAAATTAAAAAAAAAGAAAACTTAAAAAAAAAAAAGAAAGAAAAAGGAACATACTTAAAGTCAGTTAACTAAAAAACAGGTAAATTGCCGGGTGGTGGTGGTGGTGGTGGTGGTGGTGGTGGTGGTGGTGGTGGTGCACGCCTTTAATCCCAGCACTCGGGAGGCAGAGGCAGGCAGATCTCTGTGAGTTCAAGGCCAGCCTGGTCTATGGAGCGAGATCCAGGAAAGGCACAAAGCTACACAGAGAAACCCTGTCTCAAAAAAACAAAAACAAAACAAACAAACAAACAAAAAACAGGTAAATTTTGGGGTTAATAGCAAAGAAAGAAGCCATAATTAAAACTGTCAGGTCCATGGTCTAACCTGTAGGGTAATAAGCAGGTCCATGGCCATGTCTGTGGGGTCATGGGCAGATCCATGGTCTAGCCTGTGGGGTCATGGGCAGATCCATGGTCTAGCCTGTGGGGTCATGGGCAGGTCCATGGTCTAGCCAGTAGGGTCATGAGCAGGTCCATGCCCATGTCTGTGGGGTCATGGGCAGATCCATGGTCTAACCTGTAGGGTCATGAGCAGGTCCATGGCCATGTCTGTGGGGTCATGGGCAGATCCATGGTCTAGCTTGTGGGGTGAGGGGCAGGTCCATGGTCTAGCCTGTGGGGTCATGGGCTCCAGTGACCAGCCATAGACTGTCCTCTAGGCTTTCCCCACGGAGCCCTGAGCAGCTACTGCTCTTCTGTATAATGATCCTTTTAGGGACAGTTACCTCCATTAGGCACCCTACATTACTATGAATACTAACTATCCTGTAAAATCAAATATTTTAGTCAATCAAATGAGATTAAGAATAGTAACAGATGTGGCTGGGTGGCTCATGCCTTTAATCCCAGCACTTCTGGGAGGCAGAGGAGGAGGGTTTCTATGAGTTAGAGGCCTACCTAGAGTTCTAAGGCCAGCCAAGGTGACATAGTGAGACCTTGTCTCAAAAAACCAAAACCAAAGCCAAAACCAAAACCAACCAACCAACCAACCAGAATAGTATCAGATGGTCCAGAAAGTTCTGCTTAGGTAAGGACGGGTTCTCCCCAAATCTTTCTGAGCAACATGCCACTCTTGCTTTACCTGTGCGTGTGGGGGGCAGGGCAGCTGAGTAACAAGGCCCTGGGAAGGACAGAAACCTCTTCTCTGCTTTCTTCTGGAGTGTCAGAGGTTACAGTTCCTCTTGCAGGGAAACCTGCATCAGTTTTAGACACAACACTAACTTTGTTATAAAAACCAAGGGCTAAAGACAAAGGGTATTTCCACGGCTCTGGACAGGCGGCGACAGACCAGCACTGCTTCACCCAGGCGTAGACACATCTGTGCCTCGTGCTTGAGGAAGGCAGCTCCTCCCGCCCCTCGGTTCCATCCACACAACACAGGTTCGCTGAGGCCTTAGATTTCAAGATCTGGCCATGAAGTTTGTTTTCTTTATTCTGTAATCCTTGTCCTGATAAACTTGCACGGGTGCAGACTTTGCTCGTCTTTCCAACTTGTTTATCTTTTGGGACCTGATTACTTGTTTCAGAGAGTATTACAGGCAAGTCTGGCTTCTGGCTCACTTTACACAAAAAATGCACTGTAAATTCATGCTGAGATCTGGGTAGGCACAGGTATGCGTGTCCATCGAGTGATGTTATCTTCACAGCGCCACTCTCCGAATATGTGATGCTGTCATCTCTATCAACACTGGGCCATTTTACTTCCGAGAAATCAATGAAGATATGCTGAATTGAAAGAGAAAAAAAAAACCCATGATATTTTCTGTTAATGTTCATTTTTTTCCATAGTTTTGATATTAAAAGTATTTTATAAGAAAGAGTTTTTACTACCTAGAAAATAAAAACTGGAATTAAACACACACACATACACATACGTGTGTGTGTGTGTGTGTGTGTGTGTGTGTGTGTGTGTGAGAGAGAGAGAGAGAGAGAGAGAGAGAGAAGGAGGAGGAAAGGTTAGTGCTAAACTTACTTTGATTTAAAATGTTCAATGAGTTAGGGAGAGCTGGATTTACAGAGCACTCATTCCACACATGAAGGAGAACCTGGGCTGTGGTGTGCTCTACAAAAGCAATAGGAGCCTACATGGTATGGAACTAGTGCAGAAGTCATTGAGAAAACAACACAGATAATACAAAAACAAATTCGGTACTTTAAAATGTCACATGAGACAGGAGAAAGGTGAGAATTACTTTTTAAAGTAGTCCTGGAATTACCCGACAGCATTTGGGAAATGCTGTATTACCTACCAGGTGAACCAAAAAGTACCATGAAGTTCCTGTCCTAGAAGGTACCCAGCACAACATTAGCTAAAAGAAATTCCAGGTGGCTTTAAAAATAATTTAGGACAATTCAAAAACTCAAAGGTAAAATGACCCTACCAAACAGCAGACTCTATCTGCTTTTTTTCATATAAGAAATCAACAGGACTGTCCATAACAGTATTTTGATCAATTATGGTATACAGTTCAACATTTCAACTTCCATCTTTATTAAACGTTAACTTTACTAAAACTATTGTCGGCTGGAGAGATGGCTCAGCCATTAAGAGCACTGGCTGCTCTTCTAGAGGTCCTGAGTTCAATTCCCAGCAACCACATGGTGGCTCACAACCATCTGTAATGAGATCTGGTGCCCTCTTCTGGCCTGCAGGTGTACATGCAGGCAGAACACTGACAAAACTGTTGTCAAGAAAGCCTTGTTACAGAGCCACCCCTATGAGAATACTCATCTTAGGGCCGTGGCTGATGGCTAGCCCATGTAAGGAGAGTCAGTCAGGAAAGCCCACTGTCCTGTGACCACACTGCAGCAGCAGAGAAAACGACACCATTTTAATGGCGCAGTTCTTCAAAAGACACTGGAAAAGGTCCTGTGGAATAAGTTACAGCTTACAATATTTTATAGCGCCTCTGCCTGCTAAGGTTTGGATATGAGGTGTCCTTCACAAAGGTGCAGGTGTCAAGGGTGTGGTCTCCAGCTGGTGGTATTGCTGAGAGTTGACTGGATCATGAAGACACTAACTTCCTCAAAGGATTAATTCATTCATGAGTTCACAGATGGATGGGCTACGCAAGGCCTGGCTGGAGGAAGGAGGTCTCTCACTCTGTCTGCTTCCTGGTTGCTAGGCACTGTTTCAGCCTACATTCCCCACCATAATGTTCTGCTTCAACATAAGTCCACAGTGACAGGTCAAATGACCACGAACCACGACCTCTGCGACAGTAAACTGTCTCGATCCTCCTCTAAGTTGTCATCTCAGGCACTTTCTTGGAGTGATGTACACAGATACAAGACGACTAACACAGCCATAGCACACTGTGAACTCAGCAAGGAGGAAGAGAAAGAGCACTGGAAAGTAGCAGAAAGAATTAACAGGCACAGCTGGGCTGAACGTGTGGCTCAGTGGTGGCGGACTTACTGCCTCCCATGTGGTGGTGGTGGACTTACTGCCTGCCATGTGGGAGGTCCTGGGCTCACTCCCTCCTGCCCAGAGTCATTTAGATCAGGCTCAAGTCCTAACTTCCCCACTTGGAAAATTTTCACAGAAAAATCAGGTAAACCTTTTAAAGAGTTTTCTGTCTATACAAGGGCTGGTTACTCAGGAAATCTCAGCAGATACCCATGCCACACTGTTACCAGTGAAGTTTTCATTTGTTGGAGACAGGATCTAACTACATTGCCCACATTAGTCTCAAATTTAGGTGGTCAAGTGAACCTCTGGCCTCAGCCTTTAAATATTTTTAGGATTAGTTTTAGTACCTAGTCAAGTCTTAATAAATGAAATTTACCATTACCCCTCAAAGTAAAAACTATTAACAAGAGTAAGATTTCTATACTTATCCATAATTACAAATTATACTAGTTAGGTTTGTTTTTTAGTCACAAACTTGAGTAACCTAGAAAGATGGAACCTCAAGAAGGAATACCTCCACAATACTGGGCTGTGGACATGTCTGTGGGCATTTTCTTGGTTGCTGATTCATGTGGAAAAGCAACCCACTGTAGGCAATACCATCCCTGGGCAGGCGGGCCTGGATTATAAAAAAAGGTAGCTAAGCAAGCCAGAGAAAGCAAGCCAGGAAGCGTGCTCCTCAGGGCCCCTGCTTTAGCTCCTACTGGGCTTCCCTGACTGGTGGACTGAACACTACCAGCTGAGAGACCCCCCCCCCCCCAGCTGCTTCGGGTCAGCGTTTTATCGAAGGCACAGGAGGAGCAAACCAGGCTCACATCCTATTACACGTGGACAACCACAGTTTCCTTAAAATTTGTTTATGAAATTTCTCAATATCGAGACATAGGAGAATAAAAAAAAAAAATCACAATCCGAAGTGCTATAATCCTTGGCCATAAAGAAAATGTTAAGGAGTTGAAATGTGTAACTTCTATGTATGTTCTAGTGAAGCACATGGGCCTGTGCATTCAATAGCATCTGCCTGCTTCCCAGTGCTAAACCAAGTGTTTACAATTAACTTGTACTCAACTATTACTCATAAAATCGTGGTTTTAAAAATCACCTTTTTTCTTTCAGGAGGTGTGAGGCTTTCAGATAAAAAAGGGCACGTAGCTGAAGAGTTTCGAAAATCTAGGGCTCGCTGCAGTTGCTCCTAGAAAAAGAAATGTACAATTATTTGATGACAAAAGCCCAGAATCCTAGTTACCTTTACATTCTAGCAGCTTCGGCAACCTCTTTGTATTAAAAAGAGTATTTGGGGGATGTTACTTACTCGGTAGGTACTAATGACAAAGTGTGTCCGTTGACGAATTCTCTCTGGTTGCTCTAAAGGATGTGTTGAAAGAGGAGGTGCCTTTTCAAATAGAAACTCTGAGCCACACGGAGAGAGCTGCAGTCTGGAACCATCGGCATACTGTACTTGGACCGAGTCATCTTCATAAAGCACCATTCGGACTTCAGCGGCCATTTCTACGCCTGGGTATGCCACACTTCAGGCAGACTACAGGAGATGGAGACACAGTAGCACGGGCATTTTTCAATGCTCGAGTTCCACAAGCTAAACACCCGCACTTCCTAAGAACGTAAGGACAGCACACTGCCACTGCGTACACTCTTGGTGGAAGAGCGGCGGTCTTACCTCGGTTATCTAAAATGAACTTCCTTCACAAAACGCTTTGAGAAACCCCTACGACTTCACTCACTGCTAAAAAAAAAAAAAAAACCTGGTGGGAGAAGACAGCCCACAGAGTCACAAATGTCCTAAGTTTTGTGGTTTTACTGCTCAGGTTTAATTTTTGTATATCATATGCCCAGGATCTCATTTCAGACAAACCAATTATACTTGGTAAGAAAAATGTAGCAATTTGGGCGGGCCTGATGGTTCAGCATGTGAAGTGCTTGCCATGCAGGCCTGATGAATTGAGCTGGACTCACTGTGGAAAGCAAGAACAAAGTTGTAGCGAGCATGCGCATGCCTGCTCTCACACATCATAATACAAACAACAACAACAATAAATACAAATAACACAGAAAATTGGTTTTAACACATGCAAAAAAAGAGGCCAAAAGTAACTATTCAGCCTAAGGCAAAAGAGCACTGAAGAAATACAAAAGCCACAACTTACTGTTCCCTAGTCTGGCATTAAATTAAGGAAGCAGTTATTTAGTGACTTCAACTCATCCTCACTTCTTGAAGTCTATTTCTTACCTCCAAAATGACTGCATTCACTACGTTTTCCATAGCTGTGTGGTGAAGAGGGGAGGTGGGCTTCACTGATACTCCACCATGTGCTAGGCAGACGCCAAGGGATGTCCGTTCATTTGTGAAGCGAGAGGGTTACAGGACTGCCGTGGGCTTAAGTGACAAAATCCCGACGACTGCCTAGCACTATGAAAGCCACCCTGTAAGGTCTCAATAAATCTGATGACATGTGAATTCTTTTCTAACACAAAACCCCCTCCCCTTCTGCATGATCGTCTCCTTCTAGTCAAGTGATCAAGTCTCATCGGTCAAAAACAAGAGACTATTGAGAGGTAATACTTCCCAAGTTTACGGCAATTTCCTACCAATAAGTCTCTAAAGTACAGTAACCCCCGCCCCCACTGCCAATATTCTCTTGCTAATCTTCACTCTATTAGTCCAACTTTCTCCTCTACCTTTCCACGGGCATCGTTTCATCATGGGCACCGATGTCTTCATGCACCCAGTGTCTTTAGTCATCCGTCTACTGGACCTAGTCAGTTTGTGTCACAGTTGTACATTGTCCCCTCTTCCACGCTTCCCTCTGTCCTACCTCCAACCCCACTTTGGGCTACTAAGGGTTGCTTCTCTACTTCTGTTTTGACTTTAATCATTCTTACGTTACCTAAATCAGAGATTCTTCAAGACCTTACCTTAATAACACTTGCTACTTTTTAGTCTCATCTTTTATTTTTGTTTTTTTAAATATGCAATAAGCTTTGCACAATAGAGGCTAACATTTTATGTGGAGCAGGTTTGGGTGTAAGTAAAGGTTTAAGTATGTGCTAACTCTTAATACCCACTCCTTTCAGAGAGTTCAGCTAGTTAACAGCATAGACGTCTACGTCTTTGTTCCACAGATAAACGGACTCTGATTCGACTATAGCAAAGGCACTCCCACCAAAAGCAGCCTTCGGTAACACCCCCTAACTTCATTCTTCAGCTGAACAAGAGCTATATCCTTACCCTAGAGCCTGCAGAGGCCACACAGTCTAGCCCACCATGGTCTCCAACTGTCACCTCCTAACTCCCTTGTTCAGATCACTTCAATAATACTGGCTTTTTAAAAAATGTTCTTGAAACAAGGTATTTTTCCATCTCAAAATCTTTGCACTGTTCTGTCCAGCTTGTCTTCTCCTTGGCTTATCACGCGACACATTCTTTGTCAGCATTAACGTCTCAAACACCACTTGCACAGAGGCCCCACGTTGTCAACTCAGCAAAAGTGCTCCACACATCCTGGCGCGCCTTTTGTCCTCATAGGCTTTATCAATATCAAAATCATTTGCCTTTGTTTTCTTCCACCAGGATAGAAACGCAAACAGACTGGACCTCACCTGTCCTATTCACAAAGAATGATGTCATAGGCAAATACACTTCCATCAGAGAATAAAAGAATGAGTGTTTAAATTCTTCTTACCCTCGAGTTTGCAATACGAGTTAACGACACCTCTGACTTCTCGCTGCTTCCCTCCTGTAACTAGTTTTCTATTGGTTTTTTTAAAAGCTTGCTTGTATTGGGCCCTTTACCTCCTTTTGTTGGAAGCACATCTCTCAATTCCTACAACTAAGATCTTTCTCCTGTTTCTTCTCTCTCCTATTCCTGTCACGGTTAACTTCTCACAAGTCAGACTGCACTGACCGATTTACATCGTCTGTTTACATACTTGCTAGATGTCAATAAACACATACCATGACAAAGGATGGAGATATATATATGTGCATGCACGCACACCTGCATATACTCTATCTGGTATTTTAAGAGAAAATAGGTGCTGACACATAGTTGAAAGACTCTATTTTCTGACACCAGACTGGGAATGGAATCACTACCTTTGCACCTCCCATATAGCAACTTTACTGAAGTTATTATTTAAATAACAAGCATACACAAAAGAGTGTAGTGTTTAAGGGATCTTGGCGCTGCCACAGGACGCAATAATCTGGTTCTAATCCATCTTTTTGGCCTCCTCTGCATTGTTTTATTCCTGTTTGCATTCTCACCGTTCAACACATTATGTATGGTACAACGAACTGGAAAACCTCGTCTGTTCTGCATGTTGAAACCTCGCCTTTCAAAATACAGTGTCTAGTTACCCCGGGAAAGAGACAGGGACCGGTCCTCGCCCTCATCAAGTCCACCGACAAACCTCGGACACTCACTCACCCGGCAGTTCTGGGCTGCGGAGCTGTTTTCCGCATCGAGAGAGCAATCAAGGCCTCTGACTGACCTCTACGTTGCCCAAATGGCAGGAACCGTACCGTTTGCGACTGCTTCTCCGGGGTTACTTCAGCAAATGTTAACTACCGAGTGGTGTTTCTGGATGAAAGAAAATAATCTCATCTGCGGAAGAACATGGACACAAGAAGTGTTTGGACTGAGACGCCGGTTCAAGTCCGGGCGGCTGGGGCAGCAGCGGCGAGCCGGAGGACCAAAAGGAACAAACAAAACAAAACTACGAGGTAGCCGTTCGAACTTCCCGCATCGAAGAGAGAGCGCCGTCAGGGGAAGAAGTGAGGCCGGAAGTCCCGCCTCTTTCACTGCACAGGGCGGGACCGGAAGAGGACGGGTTTTTCCGGGTCGGACTCTGGTCTCCACCTATTGGGGTGTCCAGAGCCCCTGCGGAAGCGTTCAAGTTCGTTTGGAATTAGGTTTGTGGACCACCCTTCTCCCCTACCAGGCAAACGCTAACGCAAGGACGAGTTTTAACGGAGTGATTACTTTCTTAAAAGTAATCGAAGGCAGAGGCTACTTGTTTTAAGAAGTGCCAGACACTGTCTTCTAATTCTCATTTTATTGCCTTTAGGCGTGTGCAGACAGCCTACTACGTCATCCATGGATGCGGCGGATTAGCCCAATTCTTTGGGAGTCAGGATGGGGATTGGAGTGACTGGGAAGACAAAATAATCATTTGATTAGTTGTGGGTGTTCCTAAGATTAAAAAACAAACAAACAAAAAACCCACAGCAACCTACGAGAGCATATAGTAGACCGAGAAAATATTTCCACTGAAATCTGAAGGGTTTTTTTTTTTTGTTTTTTGTTTTTTGAGCAGGATTTCTCTCGGCAGCCCTGGCTATCTTGGAACTTGCTCTGTAGACCAGGCTGGCCTCTGCTGGGATTAATGGTGTGCCACACTATCGCCTGGCTTCCGCCCTCTACTCCCCCCTCCACCCCCTAGCCCGCTCATTACCTCCTCTTATTGCCAACAGAAATAGTCTGGCCTTTAGATTATAGACAAAGCGTCCACAATCCAGACACCTCTTGGTAGTAAAGCAGACCTCCATGGACTGCCTTACAGCCTCCAGTATGACCATGAGCTTAGAGCAAAGGTGGGCAAATCTCTCCATAGGGACATTTTAATCCCTATGACCATAGCTCGAAATCTGGAGTTTTAAATAGGGGCTTGCTAAGTACAAGCAAAGGTCACGGCTCTGTGTTAAAAGACTCGAAGCAGTCCAAGGGAAGGATGATTTCCTTTAAAGGGGCTGGAGCATGACTAGGGAGGAAGGAGGCCAGAAGCATTGGGGCCGGATCACTATGGATGGAGCCAGACTTGAGGGAATTTTTTGATTCTAAAGTATTAAGAATATATCTAGGCAACTATTTCCTGAAAGTTTTAGTAGGTATACTTGTTTAGTTCAAGAGCTTTAAGCAAAGATAGCATCAAGGGATTGGGAAAAACTTCAATTAACCATCATTTGAAAAATAAATACTGATATGCAAATTGACCCCAATCTTATGTAAAGACATCCTTGGGCAGATAAGTTTTATTTCTTAATGACCTGTGACAATGTTTTATACATTGCACAGTGTTTTCCACCCCTGCCTTTCCCCCTCCCATGTTTGACCTGAATGGAATTTCCACAAGAGATTTCATGACCTTCTGAAAGATTCCTGGAATTGCTGATGGAGAATGGATTGTGGGCAGCAAGGATAGATGTGAAGAGCTCAGTAGAAGGCTTCTGAACAAATGAGAGAAAAGAACCCCTAGAATGTAGTTCCTCAGCACTAGGAGATAGCAGCTCCAGCAATTATTTAGATTAATTTTATTCTTTGGAATTACTAGACCTGGGACTTAAGAAAAAGTAAGACTTCAAGATTGCCCGAGTTTCTGGTTTGGGCAAGTGGAAAAGTGGCAGAAATTATAAAGAATTTAGGAAAAGTTTGAGCTAGACTTCAATTTTCTAAGTTCACTTGATGAAAACTGTAAATAAGATTTGGCTGGAATCAGGAGATACACACCTGGAGATCAATGGCTGTTACATGCTAATTGAAGATGTAAAACAATGAAACAAAGAATGTGACATTAGAAAATTAAGAGATGGCTCAGCGGTTAAAAGCACTGGCTGCTCTTCCAGAGGACCAGAGTTCAATTCCCAGCACTCACATGGTGGCTCACAACCTTCTGTAACTCCACTTCCAGGGAATCAGACCCTATTCCGGCCTCCCTGGGTACCAGGCATACACCGGTCCAGACAAAACACCCACACATACAAAGTAATTTTTAAAAATTAAAGGAAACAGGTAAAGAAGCCCACAAAAGCATTGTAGAAGAGCACAAAGAGGGACAGCAAATTATTGTGTCTGAGGTGCCTAGGTGTTGATTTTGTTGTCAGTATTGCCCAAGAGAAAGTGGAAACAAAAATCTATTAGGTTTCGTGAGGCAGGGGCCAGGGTCACTGGTGATTTCAGTGAGAATCACTGCATATAGTAGGAAAGGAAACAATGATCTGAAGAACAAATACGAGGCAAGAAAATGGATAAATATGGGCCACTTGAGACTGACAATAGGACTCTGGTACAAGAAAAATTAGAGCGCCAGGTTTTTTTATTTGATAAAAATGGCATGGGGAGCCGGGTGGTGGTGGCGCCCACCTTTAATCCCAGCACTGGGAGGCAGAGGCAGGCGGATCTCTGTGAGTTCGAGGCCAACCTGGGCTACAGAGTGAGTTTCAGGAAAGGCACAAAGCTACACAGAGAAACCCTGTCTCCAAAAACCAAAAAA